GAATAAGCACAAGGCTTTTCATGTTTTGTGCCTTATTTTACCCAATAATCATGACATAAAAGAACAGCATTTGAGTATACTGCAATGCTACATTCAGGTTAAAAAAAAAAGGACAAACCAACCTGGGCCTGGGTCACCACTGCATTATGCCAGAGTGACTCCAATTAAAATTAATGGAATGTTACCAGAATAAAATGGATTGTAACAAAGTAACCAGCCATACCCATTACCTCTGACTGAAATTGAGCATGCAGACATGAGTTAGTTATTAAACCATAATTATACCGTTTAGTAGTATGGCTAGTCTTTTGTCTTCACTCATCATTCAGGAAATACATATATAATACACAAATACTTCCACCTTGGTGACATACCAGTGCAGCAATAAGCAAAGAATAGAGCTTCACCAAGGAATGCACACTTCAAGGAGTCAAAGCGATATTTCATATAAACAAAGGCAGAGGGAAAAAAAAAAACCAACCCTGTGGATAAGAAATCAGACACTGTTAAGGCCTCCTTGGACAATTCTATTTCGATCAGGAAAGAGGAGATGAAAAATTACTCTCAGTGGGAAAATGAAGGACAAACACAATCTCAATATTAAAACAAGGTTGATAAAAATCTCCCTGCCTTTGTCCTACCAGCTATGTTTTATGTCTCAGAAAAATGGGCACATACCACATAATAAATTTCAGAACCACATAGAGAAAAATCAAGAGTGCAGCCTGAAGGTAGCTTTGTTCTATTATCAAGAGTTGCAAAATCATCCTTTATCATTATTGGCACACATACATAACCTCCCCTCCAAATATTAACTTCAGTCTTTCCAGACCTCTGTAGCGCAGGCACAATTAATCCCTATTTAACGTGATGGGGAAACTTGTTAATGGGGAACAGCACTGGAAACTGCAGTATGGAAGACAAACAGAAGAAAACAAAGCCGTTCCTTAAAGGCCAGGCACACATCGATATTGAGGTGAAGTTTAGCAATATCAGGATGAAGTTTTAATTTATATCAAACCCATTTTCACAATGGCGATGAACATCATTATTAACAGAAGCGGTCCAAAACCAAAATATAAACTTTCACAGGAACGACAGGGCTGTAAGACCTACTGAAGAGATGCTGAGCTCCAAACTTACCTATTCTCCCTACACACACTGTACAAGGTACTACCTCTCCCAAAAAGCCTCATCTCATAACTTGTATGCAAGACAACAATCTCCAGATTATGGGCTACAGGTTCCCCAAAAATAAGAGCTCCCAAAGTAAAGGTAATCTTGCTACTAGTAAAAATCCGTTTTTACACAACAATATTTGTAGAAAGATTAAGCCAAAGCATATATTCATTGTCTTTTAATTTCCATTGCAGAGTTAACAGTTCAAACAACACACTAGCATTCCAGCAGCCTGTCTGCTCCCTATTTATGTTCCAGCTGCCATTCAATTAATAACTCATTAAGTTGCACACCTGCAACACACCTAACCTCTGGTCCCAACATTAACCTTACATTATAGGTGTCGGCCAATGAGCCCAGTCAGCAATATCCTGTGGAAGACAAGACAGCAAAGAAGTTAGATAGGTGTTCTGTATCCAGTAGCTTGTACAAACATGTGCAAACCATGGCAAGGTCCCATTCTATCAGCACTAGCATCTCTGGTTCATAGCCATTCCTGTAATTCTGTAATTTGAATCAATATTTAAAAACAACAGGTTACGAGTTTTTAAACATGCTCAAGTCAGAGTACCTATTCACTCACCACAAACTTACTTAAAAATAAAAATCACTATGAAGAGGCTTAATAAATACACATACAATAGCGAAAGAAATTTTCCTTGCAATGGAAAAAGAAACCAAGTGAGATCTGACACTTCTGGCAGCCTTCACTTTTCATTGCATTCGAGCAACTGGTGACCTACCACCACTCCAATATCACAACTCTAAGCATACATATTATCAGAATGAATACAGGCAGACATTACATAGCACCTGGTGTCACGTCCCGTGTCTCCTGCCCCGTGCTGCTAACTGCACGGCCACCCCAGTACTGGAAGCAGGGTGGTGGAGGCAGGCCTTGCCCTCCTCCCAGCACGGTGCTGCAGCAGAGCAGAACCACTCGGTACAAGTTCAGCGAGGGTCTCATTTTTACGGCTGTCAGTTCAATTCATTGCAAACACGTTCTGATTCACCTTAAAAATATTATGTAATTAAAAAAAAAGTGCTTAACAAAACCGTATAAGTAATGCAGATTGCAAAATATACCATGCTTAAACACACTGATTCAATGTTTTATTTAATGCACTGCAATCAGTCCTCAATATCCATATGTTTAAAAAGTGTGGTCCTTTTTAATGCTTGTTTTTACATTAACATTTCATTTTCTTTTTCAGTTCAATTAATACCACCTACACTTTCCAAGAACCTACAAAGTGCGAAAGGATTGCCAATAACTAGAAAAAAACCCCACAGTTAGCACTAAAATACTCTTGTAGTCATGTACTAAAAGTGTATTAAAAAGATGAATACTAGAACTATAAAGTGCTAAGCAATATTATGGCTCAAGCTTCTCTAGGAAATATAAAATAGACTGGACTTGAATTCACATTAAAAGACGGCTTATTGTCAGAATGAGAAATAAAAGCCCCCATCTCTTTCCTCTTGTCAACTTGAAAATCAAGGACAACATCAAAGGTTTCAGCAGAGGAAAGCAAAAGCTAGTTAAGGGAAGTCATGCAGAAGAAAGCCACCAGAACCCCTCCAAAACCTAAAACAAAACAAGCCCACCCACCCCAACCTCAGCCAAAACAACAGTAGGAAGATATCCTATAGCACATCATTCTTCTCTGAAACAGTTCATGATTCTCTCTCTTAACCCGATTATTTTTTCTTCTCTGTTCCTAGACATAAAACGAGTTTCCTTTCTAAACACCTTATTTTCAGCAGAACCAGAGGTAACTCTTCAGTTCCGTACCTCATAATTAGAATAGGATGGAAGAGATCTTCATGCTAAAACTGAAGGAGCACTATGGAGAAACGTGACCCAAGCTATTAACTCAGTATTGTGCTGAGCGGCACACAGCCACTCCCTCTGTTTGGCATTAACATAGGGACCTCTAGCGTGAGGTTACTTCATTTGGTATAGATGTATATTGACTACAGTAAATTCAAGCTCCTACAAACAGTTGTTCCAATGCTAAAGCTGGAGCTATTTGGCACTTTTCATCGAGAGATGAAGGAGTACGTGCTCCTCTAAAGCCTCTTTGAACCCTACAAGCATGTGGTCAGGAACTTGGTACTGTCGTCTTGGAACAGGTGGCTGAAATGTTAAGAACAAAGAAACCAATTGTATGATCTATAGGACATTCTGTTAAGCTATCTAGCAACCTGCTGTGCTTTTTGCACATCAGTGCACAAAATACTCTCCACTCCAAGAACTGAGGTTGCAGAGCACTAGGAAGTAAAAGTGAAAGCTCTTGTGAGTACAGAAGCTTTTAAAACAGCCTCCGTCATTCTCAAAGACTGCCAAATACTAACATACAGTCAGAGAGAGCTCAAAGGATTTGTAGGTATCAAATGTTCCGCAAAATAGCTGCACCAGCTTCTGTGTTCAAGGCAATCTCCTCCTAGTTTTATTAAATGTGGCTGAAAAACATCTAGTAATAGAAGGAAGAACAACAGTGAAGCCTAAAATTGCTGCCCAAAACCAAACAGAAGGACAAAACTGAGTATTAACTTCTACCTAATTCAGCTTGGTAAATCCCAGGGATGATGCAAATATGAAAGAAAACATGAGAGCCACTTTGGGATTTAATATTTGCTTTCATTTTTTCCCCGATCATATTTATACCAATATCACTGCTTATAATGCGTAATTACTTTCCACACCTGATCACAGATAGAAATACTCAGAATGTGAATTTAGGAGAGCTAATTACCTGTTTTGCCCATATTTTCATTTAATAATTCAGGCATTTGAGTCGACCTAGCACTTTTTCAGAATAAAAACCTGCTGCTGTTAAGAGAAGGGGTACGCACTCTCTTTCTTATACAGGCAAAGTTAGTTCTAATTCATAATCGTCATCACAGAGCTGATCCCAGCACTGATACAGCAGGAGGGTGTGAGTTGAGCTTTAATTTAGAGATTGAACAAGACTGCCCCTTTCCAGTCATAGGCAGTCAGGGAAAAAAGTCCATCGTTCATGGAATCCGAGAAAGCCAGCCTGTTAAGGATGCACCTTCCAGAAGCATTAGAGATGAAATCAAACAAAATGTGCAAAGTGACAGAGAGAATTATCACCTTCTCTGTAGTGCAGAGAAAGAAGTTAGAGGAACACTACAGCTGATTTTATTTTTTTTTAAACCACCGAGTAATTCCCACTACTGCTGATACAGTAGAAAATAGCCACTTTTAGTTTAAACATAATGATATCCTTATTTGCAAGCTAGCAAAGCTTAACCGAAGACAAGTGATAGGTGCATGTTTTATAATGTACCAAACTGTCCTTAAAACTTACCTATTGTACTACCTGAAAAAACAGAGCCAAGTTTACAAACATCACATCTTCTATTTTACGATGGTGCTAATGAGCTTACTTTGTACTTCACTGATGTGACGAGATATGTGCAAGGCCTGTAACTCCAGACAGCTGGTTTGGAAGGCAAAGTTAATCTGCTTTAAAAATCAAGAAACTTAAGTAAAGGCTCACGAACAATTGTTTCTCTTGACTGCTTAAGTATTTGTGTCTCAGCATTCCACAAGTCTGTTAAGGTCCCTTATGAAAAGCTTAATAATATGTAAATTCTGACTTTTCACTATCAAGATAATCGTCTTTTACACAGAATATAACCAGAGTATACAGAAGCAGCTCTTCTTCTTCCAGCATGAGGAGAGGGCAAAGACCCACTATTCTACATGAGGATTTTTGAATTCCTAGAGAACAAAATTTAAGAACACTGTCCACAAAATGACATAGTAAAAAAAAAAAAAAAAAGGCAAAGAACCATACTTTTCTTTTATTTGGAATATCTAAGCCTAGGAGTTCTCAGAACATTGCTTGAGATTCCTCAAGAAAACTGGAGCACTCAGAAATGAGTCTCAAATGACTGTTCCCTGGCTAGTTTATACAGCTACTTAGCTGCTGCCAGCATTTAAAGATAGTTAATTATTTATACTAACGAGGAAATAATTTCAATCATTAATTGCAGCTGTTTCATGCTCCACCTCCCTAAAAATACTGAGCAGCTGGGCCTCCTCTGAGAAAAAAAAACAAAACAAAACCCAACAGGAGAAAAGCTTAAGAGAAGATGACTGAAAGAGGTTATGGTATGAAAACAGATAAACATGGGACCAACTTATTTTTATTTCAGAATTTTTGATTAGTGAAAATTGAGAAGTCACTTCACTCCGATTCAGAAAGCAAGCCAGCATCTCTGGCAGATCCTGCATTTCAGTCATTTCTATTAGACAGCATTCTCTTCATTCCATAATTAACTGTCTAATGCCAAACAAGATCCAGGTATCCAATTCAGCACCCATCATTATTACAATTATCAAGTTTTGTTGTAAAACACCTGAGACACCTCAAAGGTGAACAAACAAACAAGATCCTTCCAATGCAGCAGTCCAGAACAAATCCACATGCTGTGCTCCTTGCATTTAAAAAAAAAAACAAACCAACATAAAAAACCCAAAACCACACAGATGCAATCTAATCAAATTACGCTTTTTCTTCTCTTTCCAGTACAGTTCACAGCAGTTCCGGTTCCTACCACTTGACTGGGCTTTGCCCTCGTGATTGTTCTGTCTTCACATAAGTGTCATACAGTTCTCTCAAATGCAACAACAGTTCCTCTAGGTTGTCTCCTGTCAATGCAGACAATGCAATGACCCGGTCATCTATCTGTTCTTTAAGGAGTGGCAGATTGATCCTGGACTGAGCAAGGTCAATCTTATTCCCGATGACAACACAAGGCCTCTGAGACAATCCTTTTTTATATTGTTCCAGTTCGTATTTTAAGTCTTGCAGCTGAATCCATGGCTGAGACACAGAGAGATCCACCACATATAAGAGAAAGTGGCAGCGTTCAATGTGCCTTAGGAAGGCCATCCCGAGGCCCCTGTTTTGATGAGCACCTTTTATTAGGCCAGGAATGTCAGCAACTACAATGAGAGAAATTCCACAGTGAATCCAACATATCCAACAACAACAAAAAAACCCAAACAAACAAACCCAGCCTTTTACTGGCCAGTGCAAGTACTTTTAGAATTACATCTCAATGCATCAATATTAAAGCATACCTCATATTAAGTTTGGTTGCTATTATCTTTTAAAGCCCCCAAATTTAGATTATTCCAGTGGAGGCGGAATACAGATTGCTAGTTTGATATTAAGGGCACATATAAGTGAATGTGAAACGGGCTTTCAGTATTGTTTTGTTCAAGGTTCTTTAGAACTAGGAAGAATTCTACAGAACTGCTAAACTTACTCCTGCAGCATTTCAAAGAATAACCCAGGTGACACAAATTGCTATCAAGGTACACACAACATACTACAATCCTTACCTGCTACTTGTTCATAGTCTTGATAGCGCACAATGCCGACATGGGGATTTAGGGTTGTGAATGGGTAGGCAGCCACTGCTGGCTTTGCACTGGAGATTGCTCTCAAAAGCGATGATTTGCCAGCATTGGGAAAGCCCACCTGGAATACAAACACTCATTAAAGCCACAGTTCCAGGTTAATCCCGATAAAAAAAACAACTGTAAGCTTTTGCAGATGTGGCAAGGTTCTTCCAGCATGAATATAACAACATTACTTTTGCATACTCAGTTCTAAAAAGCATCCTGGTTTCCCTTTTTTGTTTCTCCTAAACCCTGTTTTATTTGTATGTGTATTTTCTCATAAACATTAAATAGATCAAGCATAGAAGGGTCCCCTTAACTTTTTTGTGCCATCTTAAGTATTTACTTTGTTCAGAGCCAAAAGGGTATATACCATAAGATCTCTTTTACCCTGAAACAATGTTATGACACTTTGCCCTGCACTTCCCATTTTATCTGTGTTTTCTAACTCTGATTTATTATTTTCCAAAAGAATTCAGAATTAGCTTTGTCCCTGATTCAGTAACATAGTTTGGCCTATAAGTAACCGGAATGCCTACAAGTTTGGGATTTTCATAGTCTCGACATCAAAGAATTAAATTGAAATTTGACCTTCTGGGGAGAAGGCAAGAATTTAAACAAACCTATCCCAGAAATGAAGTTACTCTGGGATATCCTATAGTTGACATACGATAGCTACATAGATGGTCAATAATACCCAGATGAAAGTAGATCAAATCCTAAATTCTCCTATTTGCTGATGTCAGACACTCTAAATTCTTGTCAGAGGAAGTAAAGTACAGAACAGATTCATCTCAGATTTCCAAATTAGTGCCAAAAATGTGAGAAGTGGACCTGAGTGTCCAGCCGGTCAGAGAATTAAGTGTATTGATCCACCAATGCCAACTCTTTTCTTAGTCCCTAAATAAATTCGCAAAATTCTGCTACACCAGACAGTTCTTCTGCAGTTGCTGAACTACAGCAAGAACTCTCTGCAGCAAAGTATAATTTTAACAACTTTACCAGCTGGTGTTAAAACATCTCCATACTTAAAAATGAAAATAGCTTAAGCCCTAAATTAACTTAGCATTCATGTCTAAATAGTATTTTCACTTCAGAGGATGCTAAACCTGGAACTAACAAAGTCAAATGTTTAATATCTGTAAAAAGAGAAATATAGGGATGAAATAGAAGATGATTTGATCTTTATCGATTTTCTTTTTTAAAAAATAAGAAAACAGAAACTGATTTAGAAGAACTCTCCATACTGTACTCTTCATCTGCAGAATCGGCAGACAAAGCCTGATGTACATCATCAGTGAGTCTGTTAACCACTGATGAATCTTGCACATTGCTTTTCTATATATAGTGTTGATTTTAGCAAAAGTAGGATGACGTCAAGTAGCAAGAGAGCGACAGCTCTGCAAATCACTTTGGATACCCTTCTACCAAGTAGTAGATGCAAGAAAGCATTGAGTTGCATCTCTAAACAAGCAAGCCAAAAGGCTAACAAAAATGTTACCAAACATTATTTCTTCAGTCAGTCAAGTGTCATCCTACAACAATAAGGAAGTTGAAGAACCACAGTGACACTCACCAATCCTGCATGAGCTGTTGTCTTGAGTTCCAGATGGAGGACCCTTTCCTGACCTGGCTCTCCTGGAGTAAATAATGTTGGAGCTCGGTTTTCATTGGAAAGAAAAAAGCGATTACCTTTCCCTCCAGCTCCTCCATAAGCTGCAACATACTCTTCACCATGTTGAGTGAGGTCAGCCACAACTTTCCCATCCTCCTTAACCAATGTACCTACAGGGACCTTAAAGTGAAGAGAGACGCAAGCATTACACTGAAGCTCAAACTCTGCAGCACAGCTGTCTTCAGCAGATCCTTTACCAGCTGATTTTCAGACTTGTTGAAAATCATTCCTCCATATTCTCAAGCTGGGGAATCCAAAAAGAGGAGTGTAGTTCATAAGGCTCACTTTCTGGACCCAAACAGCACTGTCAGACATTTACACTTCATTAAAATTATGTACCATAACCCTTTTTCTCTCCTTTTATGGTTAACAGTACCATAACCCTTTTTCTCTCCTTTTATGCCTAAGTACAGTAGTGAGCTAAGAAACATACTGTAGGTGTGCACCAAAACAGGCATGTTGAAGGGGGGAAAAAAAGAAGTCTGAAAGAAAAAAGTATGCTCCTATTTAAGAAGTTTTGTGTTCTGACTGCTCTAGGCATATGACCCCTAGAAGTAAAGCAAATCAGAATTATATTTGTTTTGGCCAGCTGTACCTTCCAAAGAAGTCTAATTTCTACAAACAATTTAAAGGAGCTTGATCTGCCCGTGTGCCAACAGCCCTGTCTCAGAGACAGCACACAAGGCTCCCTGAAAAAAAGCACAGGAGATTTTCTCACATTATTTTCAAGCTGGCCATCCAGCTTGAAAATCAGCAATGTTAATATGAAGCTAACACACTAGCATGCAACCTTAATTTACTTACTTTAACATACATGTATGCACCATTAGCTCCGTAACAGTTTTTGCTTCCTCCTTTCTCTCCATGAAAACCCTGATAGAAGGGGAGGACTGAAGAAAGTGATTTCATTTGCTGGTCAGCTGTAAAGCAAAATACACGTATTTTAAACACATTGTTTTAGTAGAACAGGCACAGAAGAGCAACCTTTGCACTGTTCTTTGCCTTTTTGAATACTGCATGAATGCATATCCTATTTACTGTCTCAACAATAATGTATCAGGGAAAACTAATATTAATGTAAGTTGTGATGAAGTTTAACTGCCTTTACTTAGGTTTATTAACCATGCACTTTATTATGTGGTCATTCCAAAATCAATCACTACAAAATACTCTGGAAAATTCATTTGCTAGATTAGCAGATCTTGCAGCAGGGTGGTGGCAGAAGCAGCTTTATCCATCCTAAGAGTAAAATTTGATCAGATTCCAGCCTTATTGTAACATAGTCATAGAATCATAGAACAGTTTGGGTTCGAAGGGACCTCTAAAGGTCATCTAGTCCAACCCCCCTGCCGTGGGCAGGGACATCTTCCACTAGATTAGGTTGCTCAGAGCCCCATCCAACCTGACCTGGAATGTTTCCAGGGATGGGGCATCCACCACCTCTCTGGGCAACCTGTGCCAGTGTTTCACCACCCTCAGCGTAAAAAATTTCTTCCTTACATCTAGTCTAAATCTACCCTCTTTCAGTTTAAAACCATTCCCCCTTGTGCTGTCGCAACAGGACCTGTCCTCCATGTGCCTTAGCATAGCTTCCAGGAGGATCTGCTCCATGATCTTGCCAGGCACAGAGGTGGGACTGACTGGCCTGTAGTTCCCCGGGTCTTCCTTTTTTACCTTTTCAAAAATAGGGGTTATGTTTCCCCTTTTCCCGTCAGTGGGAACTTCACCAGACTGCCACGACTTCTCCAATACGGTGGTTTATTATGACCCACTGTAATGGTATCCTAGTCTGGATATTAATCATAGAATCATAGAATGATTTGGGTTGGAAGGGACCTTTAAAGGTCATCTAGTCCAAACCTCCTGCAATGAGTCAGGGACATCTCCACTAGATTAGGTTGCTCAGAGCCCCATCCAACCTGACCTGGAATGTTTCCAGGGATGGGGCATCCACCACCTCTAACCTGTGCCAGTGTTTCACCACCCTCAGCGTAAAAAATTAAAATTTTATCTCTAGTCTAAATCTACCCCCCTTTAGGTTAAAGCCATTCC